CATGGAAGATTTCTATCCTAAACAGGGCAAGGGGTTATATTACAAAGGAACAGGTGAGCATAGCTTCACCCATGGGGCTGTAGCAAGACACACCCATTTCTGTGACTGAGGGCCTCAGCACCCAGCTGGGGAGTGTAACTCAGTCACCTAAAAGGTTGGCCTCCCACAAACAAGGGTACATCTAAAACACAGGTGATTCCTTAGGACATCCCTCGGTATGTTTTATTATACTCTGGTTGGTCTGTGGAAATATGACCCAATGCAGGCAGAACTTCTAATGRCCCACACCCTTCAGGAAGAAAGTTTTAGGACACCACTTCAAATGAAGAACCACAGTCAGATAAGGTGCTTGCTGAGGGCAAAAAGAATATAGAATGGGCCGTGGAATAAATTGGTTATAAATTTATCTATCACTGCATGACCAGATACGGAAATGATGCCTATATTTGTCATGATTAATTCTTCTTATTGTACAGTTGGATCTGGACTGTCCCCCCCAAAGTCTCATGTTTTGAAAGTGTGGTCCCCAACGCATCCAGGTTCAGAGTTGGGACTTTTAGGCACTGATTGATCATGTGGGTTCTGACCTCATCTGTGGATTAATCCACCTATTAATCCATTGATTAATAGAGACCTGAATGGACTACTTAGAGGTAGAACTTAGTTGTGGGAAGTAGGTCACTGGAGGTAAGCCCTGGAAGGGCTCCAGGCCCTTCCCCTCTCTGCTTCCAGGCTGCCATGACCTGGGAAGCTTTCTTCCACCACTCCCTCTGCCMCGATGTTCTGCCTTGCTTCAGGCCCCACACAATGGACCTGCCCACCAGGGACTGAATCCTGTAAAACTGTGAGGCAAAATAAATCTTCACAACTATAAGTTGTTTTTTTCAGGTATTTGTCACAGTAGTGAAAGGTTAACACACTTGTTTTGTCATGAATGTGTTTGTATGTATGTGTTTGTTAACTTTTCATTACTATGACAAAAACATCTAAGAAAATCATTTAGGAGAAAAGATTTATTTTGGTTAGTTTTGGAGGTTTCAGACCATGACTGTTTGACTTGTTGCTTTTGGTCCCATGGCAAGGTCCACGTGATAGGACCTTGACCTTATGTGGGCAGTGTGTGGTGGAGCAAAGCTGCTCACCTCAGGGCAGCCAGGAAGTGAGAGAGAAAGAGAGAGGAGGGGCTGGGTCTCACTAACTTCTTCAAGGTAATGTCCCCCACCCCTGGTGCCAGTGATCTAATTTCCTTCCACTAGGGTCCACCTCCTAAATGTTAGGCAAACTCTTAAATGTTCTACCCCTTTCCAGTAGAACCACAGTCTGGCAACCAAGCCTTTAAAAACACATGGTCTTTGGGGGACATTTAAGTTCCAAACTGCAGCATACTTCTTCACTTCCAAAGGCTTATATCCATCTCATAATACAAAATGTGTTTAGCTCATCTCCGAGAATCTTCAAAGTATGAACGTCCTAGCATTGCTCAAAAGTCCGAGTCCAAAGTCTCCTGGTAGACTCAAGGCAAACCCTTCATTGTGAACCTGTAAAAATCAAGACGTAAGTTACATACTTCCAAGATTCATTGATAGGACAGGGTAGACATTTCCATTCCCAAAAGGAGGGATGAGGCAAAAAAAAAAGGGAAGGGTCAGACCAAAGCAAGACTAAAACTCAGCAGGACAATGTTAATTTCTGTAGCTCCGTGTGTGTTTGGTGTCTGGGACACGTGATGTGAGCTCCAAAGGACTTGGGCAGCTCTGTCCCTAGGCCTTGCTAATTGCAGCCAAGATGGCCATTTTTTGGGCTAGCTCTGCCTACTCCCTGCAACTTCTCTTGGCAGGCATTCCACCTTCTTGGCATCCATAACTCCCTGGGATCTCCATTGCAGCTCTGGCCTCACTCTTGTGGCTTCCTACAATGCCCTTTCAGGGGCTGCTGGCAGAAACTCAGATCCTGCCTCACACTGCCTGGTCTATCAGGCTTTCCTTTGAAATCCTGGTGGATGCTTCTAGCATCATGTGGACCAAGCCAAGGTCTGCTGCTGACCTGACTCATTCTAAAGACCCCTTGAACCATGGCTGTAGCAGTCTGAGCACCTTGAAAGCTGCTCACAGGAAACAATCCTGGGGAAGCGAT